GGGGGTGGGGGGGTGGTCTCCATCACCAGGACCTGTGAATTGGAAGAACTAGGAAGTTTGTGAACAAAAGATTTTAACCATTTGGGTGGATATTCCACCAGATCCTGCCAGACCATGACATACGGAACCTGACCCAGATGGCCCCAGGGATCAGGAGCCATAATCCTTTTTTTTTTTACAGCCTGTATAATGGACGGTTGAAAGGTCCCTTCCATAGGCCATCCAACTTGGAAGGCAGGCCACTCTGCAGAGCAAAAGGTTGTTAATTTACTTTACTTGACTAGAAAAGACAAGTTATGTGCCCTGGCCCTGACATCTGAGAAATGGTCAGTCATGAGAGAGAGTGGGGTAGATTCCCCCTGACCCATGGCTAGAGTGTAAATGGTAGGGAAGAGAGAGAGGAAGTCACTGAGAACAGCCACCAAAAATCCTACCGGGAGTGGTGGCGGCCAAGAGTTTGGGCTTATGGTATGCTTTTGGTACTGTTTATGTGCTTGCGTCATTGAACGGAAGTTTTCTTGCTGGGGGCGGGCACTCTAGAGGTTTCTAGCCCATTTCGTGACCCCCTTATCCTCTCACGGGAGTTTCAAGTGGCAGGCGCCCTAATGGCCTTTAAGTTCCTGTCCCGTGCCCACACAAGGAATTTTAGGCCACGTCCTCAGTTAGGGATGTTGAAAGAGAGTTTCACCTGATCAGGCTCCCGTTACTGAGGCTCACTTATTGTAAGGCCTTCAGAGTCCGCCAGAGCGTAGCCCTGGCCGGGACTCATCAGTTGCCCCCACAACTGTTCGCCTGTTCACTGAAACTCTTGAAGAGAGTAGGAGTCGAAGGCAGATCAGAGAAGAAGGGGAGAAGGAGAATAAGTCAGAAGAGAGAGTAGAGAACGATACACCAGAAGACAATGAGACCATAGACAATGCCGGCACACACACAAACACGGAGGGGTGTAGACAAACACGCAGATAGACAAATGTCGGCTGACAACACAGCGCTGGGTTTTTGGGGCCCCTGAGTCCTCTTGCCTCCCAGTATAAGGTTCACCTTACCGAATGGCGTCCACTGCTCACCAGACTCGGGATCAGGAGAGGAACTCTCCTTCCCGCAGAGCCGGCTGCCTTCCAGCGCGTTCGCTGGCTTCAGTCCTGCGCCCGCTGGAACGTCCAATCCGTTCCCCCTTTATAGAAAGCTTTCTCCTGTGCCAGATACCTTCCTGCTTCTCAGCAGGGCCTCGGATTTACACTGGACTTTCGTGTCCTGCCTGAGCACCGGTGCTATATCTATCCTTCCCCTCTGTCCTGTAAATGTTATCTTTCCCTGGTCAAGGGATCCCGGACAAGCCCCAAATGTGATGCCCGCTGTCCGAATCCCCCAACAGGAAAAGATAAGACATCCATGGCAATGCAACACGCAAAGGAAGGGAAATTTATTGCTGACTCGAGCCAGGGCCCCTGCTGCAACCAACGCAGTGGTGCAAAGTCAGAGAGCCCTGAGCCCGAGTTTCCACACACATTTATAGGGTGCTCGATTTCAAACATAAGCAGAGGGTAGTGGGTGCGAGCGGATTGGTTACATGTTTGCAAAGCAATTTTATTAGTACAAACTTTCACGCGCGTGGGACTTTCCAGGGGACCTTCTTGGAGGTTTACTGGGCACGTACTGATTAGCTGGTCTCTGGTGGCCTGTTGAGGGCAGATAATTACCCTACCCTCGGGAGAAACTGAAACTTAGGCCTACTCTTAGTTCAGGGTGCCTGTCATGGTGCTAGTCTTGACAGTCTCACACACTGGTGATCTCTTCAAGGAGTCATTTGGGAGAGCACAAACAGTTCAACTGAGGAGAGAATGGGGTGGCACAAAGAGAATTAGTCTGTGGAAGAGGAAGCCTCTGAATGTCCAAAAATCAAGGGGATTGGTTGAGGATTATGAGTTTCTTTGACATTGTCTCTTCAGCCTATTCTTTCTCTTGATAGTAGAGGCTTTATGAGAGAGAGGCAAGCTGCAAACTCTGCTATGAATGTACAGGATCTTACACCCTGCTGGATCAATTTGCTTCCTTAAAGAAATGCTGCTCCTGGGTCCCAGTCCAATACTCAGATGACCTGGTTTTTCTTCTCTGGCCTCCAGGGTTATGCCTTGCTGCAAGTGCCAGGAGACAGCTGCTCTCTTTATACTCAGGGATGGAGGACCCACTCCTGGGTCCCTGTCTCTCAAGCCCTCAGCTAATAATGTAGGCTAAAACACTGTCTAGGACACAGCTGCCCTGATGAGCTCCTTTGTTCTTCTCTCTAGCTTTTACATCTTCTCAGCCCTTCCTTTCCCTTTAGCTGCATTTCTTTGATACTTTTCTCTTTCTCTCTCATACATATTTCTTCTCTCCTACAATGTGATCTAGTCCTCTACTCCATGGAAAAGGAAAACTTATTTAAAACCAGAATTTGGGGGCTTCCCTTGTGGTTCAGCAGTTAAGAGGCCATGCTTCCAATGCAGGGTGGTGGATTTGATCCCTGGTTGATGAACTAAAATTCCACATGCCATATGGTATGGCCAAATTAAAAATAAACCTAGAATTTTATAACCCAAAATAAAATAAAATAGCCTGTGCATGATCCTGATATCGAATATTTGCTAGAACATACAATAAAGCATATCCAAACTCTAATCATAGTTACAGTGATCCAGAAGTTATTTCTAGATGACTGTTCTTGAATTATATATACATGCCTTAAGCTTCATGGTGCAACAATAGGAATTTTCTTAGTTTTTTATAGTTCTATTTTAATTTTTGTCTCTAACTTCCTTTCCTCATGTCATTTCCCTCAAGAAATTATAGAAGAAGAGGAGAGATAAAAAACAAATGAATAGGGGTTGATGCCAAGTTCTAGGGAGTTTGTGCAGAGTTGAGACAAAGTAGGCAGTAGAAATTTGGGTTCTGAGAAATTGTATTTCATTCATACAGGTATCTGAGTCCTTCCACATAGCCCAAGTTGTCATATACTGTTCATAGTCTGATAGACCACAAGAGTCCAAAAGTTGTCCCTCCAGGAACAACAGACCTTGCCCTGGAGGCTTGGCAAGCTTAGATCTTTTTTATCACCATATATATATAGGCCAAATAGAAACACAGTTTCAGTTCAGTTCAGTTCAGTCGCTCAGTCGTGTCCAACTCTCAGCAACCCATGAACTGCAATAATAATAATAATAATAATAATAAAAGAGTGTAGCAGAACCAGAACTCAGAGATGGAGTCCTGGAGCTCCTCCTCCTCCTCCTCCCTTTTGACCCCTACTTTCTCACCCTTCAATTCTCCACATCCTGAAAATGGTAGAAGAATTCCAGGAAGACTGCATGCATGCCTGAGCACTCTCGGCCACTCCTAATCTCCAGCCAATATCTCATTTCTTTGCAGAATCTTCACCCAAAGTGCAACTGGTGAGAGGTCCCCATTGCTGTGAAGGGCGGGTGGAAGTGGAACGGAATGGTGAGTGGGACACTGTGTGTGACAATGGCTGGAACATGAAAGACGTGGAAGTGGTGTGCCGGGAGCTGGGCTGTGGAGCAGCCAAGGGGACACCCACTGGTAATTTATATAAGCCATTGGCCAATGAAAAACAAAAAATCTTCATCCAAGAAGTCAACTGCAGTGGGACAGAAGATGAATTGATTAACTGTGACCAGCTGGAAGATGTTTATGATTGCTCCCACAGCGAGGATGCAGGGGCAATATGTGAGAGTGAGTATGGCAGGACTCAAGGACTATATGCCAACTGCCCATAGCCTGCATGACCACTCTTTGTCCTCTTTATCTTTATTCTCCACCATGAACTGATGGTTAACTGATTCCTTGTCCTTCACTTCTCACCCTTTCTCCACTGTGGACCCTGGAGTGAAATATATCCTCATCTAGAATTGTTATTCTTCCTTGGTTGAACAGTGGCACTAGTGTAAAAGCACCCTCCTGCCAATGCAGAGACTTAAGACATGTGGGTTCGATCCCTGGGTGAGGAAGATCCTCTGGAGGAGGGCACAGCAATCCAATCCAGTATTCTTGCCTGGAGAATCCAATGGACAGAGAAGTCTGGCAGGCTATAGTTCATAGGGTCACACAGAGTCGAACATGACCGAAGCGACTTAGCATGCACACTTGGTTGAACTAATGATTTTCTCTTCGTTTCAATCTTAGATTTTCTTAGTTTCAGCCTATCCAAGAACCTGATTCTCTTCTTCACACACACAAACCTGCACAGATCCAATAACCACTAAACATTTGTATCTAAAGCTCAGGTGGAGTTATGGGGAAGAAATGAGCTCCCAAAGTATAATGTAAGTTTATCAGTTCTCAAGGGGTCTATCATCTAGTTAGGTAGACAGGAGATGCTCATCAGAAACCAACATACAACTGTGTGTATATATGTATATATATATTGCGTGAGTGTATGCTCAGGCACTTCAGTTGTGTCTGACTCTTTGCGACCCTATGGACTGTAGCCTGCCATTGTCCTTTGTCCATGGGATTCTCCATGCAAGAATACTGGAGTGGGTTGCTGTGCCCTCCTCCAGGGGAACTTTCCCACCCAGGAATTGAACCCAGGTGGATTCTGTACCCTTGAGCCACCTGGGAACTCTGTATATATACACACACACATATTCATACACAACAATTATATATATAATTATGTATATAACAATTATATATGTAACAATTATGTATATATAACAATTATATATATATATAAAACAATTATATATATAATTGTTGTTGTATTCCTTTATGCCTTTCATATACTTGCTGTCTATACATTGATAATTTTCTGTGTGTCTATCTCCTTTTACATTAGAATGTGATTTGGCTAAAAGACTAGTCTATGTCTTCTCTTTGTTACCCCATGGTTTGTTAGCAGACAGTCACCAAATGTTTGTGCCCGATGCTGAGGTCTCATTCTTATTTCTGAGAAAGATTCAGAGTTAGGAGCCCCCTTATGTGGGAAAGCTGTGTTCTTGTAGGCAGCAGAAACTTAATCTTTCTTTTCCCACATTGCCAGAGACCGTGAGGCTGGTTGGTGGACGTGGCCGCTGCAAGGGGCGCTTGGAGGTGAAGCACCAAGAGCAATGGGGCACTGTGTGCAAAGCAGGCTGGAATCTCTCAGCTGCGAAGGTGGTGTGCCGGCAACTGGGGTGTGGGAAGGCCACACTGATCAAAATATGCTGTAACAAGGATACCCAGGGCCAAGGACTCATCTGGCTGAGCAGTGTGTCATGCTCAGGACAGGAAGAAAACCTTCACTATTGCCTTTCTGGGCTTGAGGGGAATAATAACTGCACCCATCATGAGGACACATGGGTTGAATGTGAAGTAATGCCTATAAGTCCAGTGACTAGGGTTTATTCGTGAATTTGATTAAATGGAATTCTATTCAACCAGTGTTTATAAAAAAACTATTCTGGTAACTCAGCTGATAAAGAATCTGAATACAATGCAGAAGACCATGGTTTGATCCCTGGGTTGGGGAGATCTCCTGGAGGTGGGCAGGGAAACCCACTCCAATATTCTTCCCTGGAGAATCCTCATGGACAGAGGAGAAGAGTCAAACAGGACTGAGTGACTAAGCATAGCGCTCATGTATCAAATAACCATGGCAAAGCTATTTATTTGTGCTGCTCATCAATTCTCTTGTTTTTAAAATGGAGCTAATGATACTTGCCTTTGTATATGAAAATGCTTTAAGCACTAGCACCTAATACGAGTGCTAGATTAATATAAACTATTATTATATTGAATTCTATATAATAGGAGTAGGACACACAATTCCATGCACTTGTTGAAGTCTTCAATTAAAAAAAAACTACTAGAAAGTCATTCATAAGTATTAGACTTTTATAAAATAGATGGGAAAGTAAAAGGTCTTAGTTGAGGAAACAGACCTGGGACACATGGATTGGAAACAAGAGCAAGTGCTATAATCACAGAAACACAGGCAGGTAGAGAGCTTCAGAAGTGTTGATGGGATTTGAGTGAGGAGGTAGATGATGTTTTTTTCTTCTTTCCACTCCATCCCCTGACCCTGTAGATCCCTTTGAATTGAGGCTGGTAAACGGAGACACCAACTGCTCTGGGCGACTGGAGGTGCTGCACAAGGGCACATGGGGCTCTGTCTGTGATGACGGCTGGGGGACAAAAGAGGAGCAGGTGGTGTGCCGGCAACTGGGTTGTAGAAGGCCAATCTTTGTACCTGCCAAATTGCGGAGAAAGTTTGCCCCTGGAGATGGGCGCATCTGGCTAGATGATGTTCATTGCAAAGGGCATGAGCAGTCCTTGGAGCAGTGTCAGCATAGGTCCTGGGGGTACCATGACTGCAACCACAAGGAAGATGTGGTCGTATTCTGCTCAGGTAAGCCTTGTAGGTTGAACCCATGGGGACTGGCATGGAGGGAGGTGAAGAAGTGGGTGGTGGGGTGTAAACTCTGAGGGTAAGGGTTATTCTACTCGTGCTGCACAGCTGCCCATAATAGTCACCTACTTTGTGTTACTTCAAGGAATTACTCGAGACTCCTAGTCATGGATAGAATGATAAAATAGTTTAAAAATCCCATACCATACGGTTATTGAGTGTGAGAACAAAAGAGGTTTTGAAAATTATTAGTTGACAGCTTTATATTAAATCTAAGGAGAGTAAGAGTCAAAGAAAATAAGCAACTTTCCAAAATCATAAAAATTGTTTTCAAACAATGGAGCAGAACTAAAATGACCAGTCTTGGCTCAGCTCAGGATTAGTTGACTTAAAGGAACCTAGGCCTCAAACTGTAAGCTATAACTGTAGAAGATGGTCCCACCTCCTTCTAGCTATTGTCACTACCCAGATTTTAAATTAATCTGTGCGAATGGGGCTTGGGGAGGGGGCTGTTTGTGAATATCCTTGAGAGTGTCTTTTCAGAGAAGCCAGGATTTCAGCTGTAAATTGTAGACCTCCCACTATTGTTGGGCTTCCCTTGTGGCTCAGTTGGTAAAGAATCTGCCTGCAATGTGGGAGACCTGGGCTTGATCCCTGGATTGGGAAGATCCCCTGGAGAAGGGAAAGGCTACACACCGCAGTTATCTGGCCTGGAGAATTCCATGGACAGTATAGTCCATGGGGTCGCAAAGAGTTGGACACGACTGAGTGACTTTCACTTCACAGGAGAGTAAAGGAAGAAATATGTTCCCATATGAGTCAGGAAATGCAAAGCATAGCCCTTGGGTGGATGACTCAGAGAGTCACAGCTCTGAAGCCCAGCTTTGTAATTAATGTGGGATGCTGGCATGCAGGGCTGCCTGGTTACATACTCAGGGAATTGTGTAAGAGTTGAAAGATGATCAAAAATGTGAAGAGCATCTAGTGCCCAGAAAAGGAGGGCTTTAGTGATGGAAGACTAGTGTTTGAGTTGAGCCTGCCATTTGGAGGCTAGTTAATCTTAGCTGATCAAAAGGAGACGCTTACTCCATTTCTCTCGAAGAGTTTTGTGATTGTGGAGGGTGAGAAGTGCTAATATAAATGAATATGGTTTCTGTCTCACAAGGGATCTGGTTGATTGAGTCTAGGGCACTGAACTAGATTCTGATGTGGTTCACATCAGTGTGAGATATGTATGTGATTAGGATCTGGAAGGGTCTCCCTTTCCTATTCTGGAAACCAGTCTTCTTTCTTGGCCTCTTTGAGTTTGAATGAAATAATCCCTTCTTGACATGTCACCATCCCTACTGTACATTCTTCTCTTTACAGAAGCACAGCCTGACATTTGATGTTTGGCCCGACTCCGGCAGGACCTGAGTGTCCTTTGCTTTCTCATGGTCTCAAATGGCTTAGTGCAAGCACTGGGTCTTCAGGCTCAGCTACCACTCCCTCAGCCCCTCAGCCAGAATCTGAATACTCTTTTCTCTCAGAGCCAAGCACCCCCATCATCTCCTGGAGATATGAGTTGTTGAATTCTCTCTTGCCAAGGAAGATGACCTCCCAGTCACCTGCTCCTCACTGCTGACCATTTGGCATTGATTCTGACCTCTCTTGCTTTTTTTCAACCAGCCTGGGTTCCCCAGGTCTGTTCCTTTGACCACTACAGGACATTTCTAAGACCAAACCTATGTCTGTAAAGAACATGAGAGGAAGGTGACAACAAAAGGAACATTTGAAGGGGAATATGGGTAAATAATGAGATGAAACTTGGGGGAAAGCTCTTTGAAAGCTTTTTCTCAAGCCTTCAACACTTTTTCTTAACTTTCAACAGTTAACATCTCACTATTCTCCAGTTGTCTGATAAAAGCAGACACATTCATTCAAGAGCAGAGCTGTATCCTGTAATCCTAGACCTTTTCATGACACTTGGAAAAGAAATATCACACCCTCTGAATGCTCATAATTAAATACCTTTGTTGACTATCCATATACAACTTACCAACATGGTGTGCATTTAACAAGAAGAATCCTACAAATGTATTTTAATTTTCCCAAGGAAAAATGTATGGACGTGTGACTAGAGGGGAAAGGAAGAGATGCCTTCAGAATTTGGGGGAATCCAGCGTTGTGTCTCATGCCAATCAGATGATATTATTTTAATTTTGTCAACTCAGATTTTAGGGTCTGTAAGTCTGATGCAAGACAGAATGATACTAAGGAGAGAATCATGGCTTGGTTTAAAAACTGACAACTTCAGGCTCTGAGACTGAGTTGAGTACCTGTTATGTGTCTGCATTTATGCTTTCTAATAAAGTAGATTTCACAGTCTCAAGAGCTGCCTCTCTGTGTGATATGCTCTTTCTACCCAAGGGGAAAGCAGGTGGGTCAGTTTTACAGGGATGGCCTTTTAGGTAGGATCAGGTAAAGAGAACCTGCTGGAGATGCAGTCATGTGTGTAATACGGCTCTCTCCTCTGGATGGAGAACTTTCTCCCTATCTCCTTTCATGGGTAAAATGGAGAAGCTTAGTTTCACAGAAGAGAAGATGACCTAACAGACACTTTGCTATCTATCATGTCTACTCAAAGAGATTTTGCCTCTGTTTGATCAGTTATCTCAGGTCTTCTTGATTTTCCCCATAAATGAGGATCGTGTTCCCTAAACCATGTAATATCAATTGGGTTGGCCAAAAGTTCATTTGGGTTTTCCCATAACATCTTATGGACAAATCTGAATGAACTTTTTGACGAACCCAGCAGAATCTAGAGACCTGTTGAACTGCCTTGATTGAGTCATTGAAAGGCTCTTTTATCCTAAGTAGAGAAGGACAAGGTTGGAATTTCAGTAAAGAAACTTTGATTTCCTTTTAATTTTACATTAAAATTTCTTTTGTAAAACTTCAAGCAGTAAGATACCTGAGAACCAATCAGATAAAAGCAACATCTGTTGGAGGAGGCCAAGTGATCCAAAAAAGCAAGAAGGCAAGACATGACAGAAGCCTAAAAGGTAGTCTTAGAGGTCTAATCAGAATGTGTCATTAAAGAGGAAATTGAGAAGCTGAAAGACAAGATTGACACTAGCCTGCTAGACAGTCCATGAGAAGAGTGTCCCCTGACCAGAGAATATGGTTGTTTATCTTGATTTCCGAGGTGTACATGTTTAAAAATAGTGTATCAGAGTCTGAAGAAATTAGCCTAGTGACAACGACTGAGTGCTCATGAACAGTCATGTGTGTTTCCTCTTCCTGGACATGCCACAAGTCTATCCCAGGTTTGTCTTACTAGAAGATACCCCAGCCAGATTCCTGCCCCTACCCTGGCAAGGCAGTGGAGTACAGTGGAGCTCTGCATTCAGTGAAAATATTACCCCTTGAGTATTTTAAGAGTTGCCAGTTGGCATATGCCTTATTCCCAAAGAACCTGTCTGGTAACTGGCATCTCCTCACCCTTGCCCCATTCCAGATTCTAGCAACTCCCAAACTGCTCAGCATGCACATGCTCACTCTGTGTTCTGACAAGAGTCGTGGGCATCAGTGGGCCTCCAGGCCTGTGGAGCTGGAGCCAAACACCAAGCACCTACATAATCTCCAGTGGGGAGGGAGGAACTTTTCTCCTGGACTGGAAATTTACCCTGAGACTGTAGCTGCACACTGGCCACACTCAGCCCCCATTTGGACTTGTTGCCTGGTGGTCCCAGGCTTCTCCAGCCACCAGGGCTGGCGGGTGTCCCTTTTATCTCTGTGGAGCCATCCTCACAGGGGAAATGATTTATGCCACCTTTACAACAAGACAGTTAGCAACAGTATGGCTTCTCCATGCCTTTTCTCTTCCTAACTGACTTGTTAGAGAAGACCCCAGGGTTCAAGGGGAGGGCAGTCTGAGAAGATTAAAAGGAGCCTGGATCTTTGAATGATCATGTGAATCTCTGAATGACTCATACTCTGCTGACTGTGTTATGAATAAAAAATAAACATTATTTGTATTAAGTCTGTGAGATGCTGGGGTGGTTTTTTACAACAGTTGTCTGACCAACAAATACATAAATAGTATTTTTAAAAAATCAGTTGCATTTCTTCAAAGATCACCAGAAAAAAATTTCTTTTTTCTAAATATCATGCATTTTATTTTTAATTAATTTTTAGTCGAGTATAGGTGCTTTACAATGTTGTTATTCTCTGCTGTACAGCAAAGGGAATCAGCTCCATGTAGACATAGATCCCCTGGTTTTTGGATTTCCTTCCCATCTGGGTCACCACCGTGCACTGATGAGAGTTCCATGTGCTCTACAGTAGATTTTCATTAGTCATCTGTTTTACACGCAGTTACCTCCAATCTCCCAATGCATCTCATCCCCTTGTTCTTCCCTTGGTATCTGTATGTTGTTCTCTACACCTGTGTCACCATTTCTGCTTTGCAAATAACTTTATCTGTACCATTTTTCTAGATTCCACATGTAAGCACTATTATATGATATTTGTTTTACTTTCTTACTTGCTTCACTCTGTGTAACAGTCTCTAGGCCCTTCCATGTTTCTGCAAATGGCAAAATTTCAGTCTCCCCTACCCCAAATTTCTAATGATCATATGGTTTCCTCAAAGCCTCTAGATTTCTAGTATTCCATGCTTATTAGGAAATGTGAGATTTGGCCCACACATTTTATTTTTACTATAAATTAACTATAATTAATTGATGTATTTTTAAATTTTGGTGTCTTCCAAGCCCCCCCCCCCCCCCCCCCCCCGCCGCCCATTGTTTTCTGGAAACTATGAAAGGTGCTCATGGAGAATTCTTTGCCAACATGTTTTGGTATACATCTTAAGATTTTTTTTTTAAGAACAATTTTGGGATCACAACAAAACAGAATGGAAAGTACAAAGATTTCCCATACAGCTTTTGCCATCATGCATAACTTTCATAACATGCATAACTTTCCCCATTCTCTGCATTCCCAATAGAGTAGTA